ACAAAACCATGGGGAAAATAGACTTACTTAAAAACTGTGTGACTAACTTAACAACTACAGTCATTCACTAAACAAGTGTGGCAAGAATGGGTTGTAAAATGGGACAAAATTCACTGAACTATCTTGCTTAGTAACAGAAATTTTGGGTTCAGTTGTGGTCATAAGTTAAGGAGTACCTGTAGCCTAGTTTTCCCCTATTTTCCATCTATTTTCTATGGTATATATACTATTCTAGTTCAACAGAACTCCTACAGCCCCTGCAGATAAAATTGTAAAATGTTGATTCCATGGAAATGTTGTGCCAACTTATTCCTGTTTATTTTCCAGCAGCTATCATTTAGAACTCTTTGAAACTTAGTCATAATTTAATTTAGTTTATGCAAAATGAATAAAAAGAGTATCTGCAAACATCATAAAATTATACTGAAGTAGATTTGTTACATAAGATTTTTCAATACTTTAATACTTTTTTTTTTTCCAATTCTATAGTGGCCCATTTGAAACAATTGACTCTGGGCAATGAACATAAAGCAATTAGAAACAATTGTGATATGGTACAAAAATAAATATATATGGCAACCAACAAGAATTGTCTAAATATCAATATAGCTAGGAAACAGGTTCTTCCTACACTTTGGACCCCAGACCAGGGCACAAAACCAGATGTTTAAGATCTTGCCAACAGGATCAGGGTCATCTTCAGTTCTGAAGGGAGAATGTCCACAGGACAAGGGCTATAGGAGAGAAGCCACTTCTCCTAGTCCCTCCAGCCAATATTCCTTGTAACTGAATACATTCTATATATTCTATGAGCTTTGAAAAACTGCAAATACAAGCAGTAATACACTTTTCACCACTGTAGTATAAACCATATCAGTATAATAAGGAATTATAGTAACTTCTGTTCAAACCCTGGAAGATCCATTGTTATTTAATAGATCATTAAAACATTAGCATATTAAGACATTAATATTTAATAGATCATTAAAACATTAGCATATTTATGTGTAACATGGATTTTGAGTGTGATGCAAGCCCATATATAGAAGCATAACCCCCAAATGGTTTTCAGATTGCATTAAAGTCTGTGCCAGATTGAAAATGAAGTTACTTTGGATTAAGGGTGTGTCCCCAACCCTCAGGCCATGGCATATTTGGAACCGGGCCGCGGAAGTGGTACATGAACATGTGCATGCAGCTCCACTTGTAAGAGTAGCAGGTGAACGTGCATGTGCGCAAGTCCATTTGTGCAAGGGGCAGGCACACATGCACACTACTTGTGCAAATGGAGCTCTGTGTGATCACCGCTGCTTATGCGGAACCATCCCCTCTCTCCCCCTGTCTGTCCGCAAAGCCAGAAACATTGGAAACTGCTGGATTAAGGCCTACTCCCATAAACTTAATTAGCTATTCATCTGCAAAGGAATTATGCATACTTTCCAATAAGAAGCACAAAATGTACTTGTGGCAGTAACCACATATAAAATGCATTTGACATATATGTTATACTTTGTTCAGCAACATTTAATTAAGAAATAAGCTAGAAAGGAAACTCAGCTCTTAGAATTTGTTTCTATATCATTTTCTCAAACTGTTGTGTTTTTCAAATTTGCCACAGTATATGAAAAAGCAATATAAGCTGATAGTTCCATTTTGCATTTTCATGTTAGTGATCAATACTAAATATATCAGCAGAAAAATATAATACTTTTATGAAAGTAAATATTTAGTATAAATTTAATATTTTCTCCCTTTGAAAGTCTCACCGTTGCATATCAATTATTGTGTTTAAATTCTATTTATTAAATTATAAATTATGTGGTATTAAATTCTATAAATAAAAGTAAAATAAATAGTTCTTTACTGTTTTCTGTTATTGAGTAGTTCACCAACAACTTATAAAGTTCAATAAATGCTCCAAATTTTGTGTTATAAGATTTTCAGATTCAGTCAAATCTCTTAAATGTTCCAATTTTTTAATTAATTCTTTGGAAGGTGTTGGAACCAGATAGTTATGACTAGCCTGAAGAGAAAATAATTTCATCTTCATTTTGTCAGTAATTAAATATTGCAAAGTTTGTCATCTTTCCACTGAGTCAAATTTCCTCTTTATGAAAATAAATACTTAGTCCTAAAGTTAAATGCTTTAAGTTTCTATTTTTTTTCCTATATTTATTCCAGATGATCAATGGGCTGCTTATTGTATAATCTCATATGAACTAACTGTCTGTTTTTGTCTGTATCAATCCTCAGTTATTTGTGCAAATTATTTGGGAGATCTGCTTTCTCAGTAGAAATAAATTAACAGTAAAGTGATACAATCCAATTTGTAATTTTGATTAAGTACGTAATATAATTTGAAATTCAGAACTACCGGGCCACTTTGTACTTTTATTACCTGCATTATGTAAAGTCTGTTAATTGTTTCTGCCAGTCACATATTTTATATTTTAATTGGAGTCATTTGGAAGAGAAAATCTTTAAATAAATCTTTATTATTATTCAGATTTTTGGCTGAGTAAGTGTAATGTCAACTGCATATAGTTTTATTTATGTTCTTGCTGATTTAGTTCCTGAAATTTTGTGAATTTTTATTTTCTTTATGCATCGTCTTTGCCAATAACTACGGATAAGAATAAAAAAAAGAAAAAGAGGACAACCTTATCTTCACTAGGATATATTTTTGTAATATACCTTCCCCGCATTTCCTTGGCTTTTTATTGTTCATAAATACTCTGTATCCATATGAAAAAAAGATCTATAATTCATTTTCTTCAGAATCGTAAGAATGAAAGACTGATTCCAAATTATCAAAAGCTTTCTTCACATTAAGTAAAATTATTGTTGCCTTTCAATATATTTCTAATGGAATATGTTATGCATCTCTTTGGAACAATTCCAATCTGACCAAGATGTACCAATTCAATTAAAATGTCATTTTTTTTTTCTCTCTTAGCAAGCATTGCTATAAAGTATATCTACATTTAATGGATTTAATGTATGAAGGACTGAATGGGTCCCTCTTTGTAGATCAGAGGAATGAAATGTTCTTTCCTTTATCATATTGCTGTATCTAATTTATTGCCTGGGTTACTGATTTATCAAAATGTATTGACAATTCTTGTGGTATCTTATAGAGATGCCATCAGGTTCTAAAGCTTTGTTCAGTTTCATTTTTTGTATCGTTTGATTTCATCTTCTGTTGTACAATTAGATTTATTGTATTAGTCTGTTAATTTCATGCTCTTCAATCTTTTCAGATGCCTGTAATTCAATTCTAATTATTTTAGAATTGTGTTCAGCATTTGTTATTGGATGAAAGTAAATGTAAATACTTTACTAAGTTTGTTTTCAATAATTTGCGGTACATTATTCTTACCCATTTATTTATTGTAAATAATGTTATTTCTTATTTTATCAATGTTTTAATTGGTTCTGAGAGACTAAATAGCTCCTTCTTTTTGAGTCCAACATTCCAATATTATAGTACAGTTCAAAGAAGAAAAGTGTTCCCTCCTTATTTCTCTTTATCAGGGGTATCAAATTCAATGCCCGGAGGCCGGATCTGGCCCATTGGGTGATTAGAAACAGTGAAGGACCAGCCCGCAGTCCTCTGCCAGTGAAAATGGAGCTCAGGAGGGCCACGCTTGACCCTCCCAAGCTCTGTTTTCACTGGCAGAGGGTTGCAAGAGGCCGTCACAGCCGAAAATGAAGCTTGGGAGTCCATTTTTGCTGGCAGAGCGCTCATGTCATCACCAACGCCCCCGACACAAGTGATGTTGAGCTGGTCATACCCACCCCAGCCACACCCACCCTGGCTCCCAAAGGTCAAACCCAACCCTGATGCGTCCCTCAATTAAATCAAATTTGACACCCCTGCTCTATACTGTGGATTTACAGCATAGCTCCATTTTGTTCCATGCACTAGCCTTTTACTAAAAGTGAAAGTATTAAACTTAAGTTCCTCTGTCAATATTAATATTCCAGTCCTCTGTTCATACTGAACTGTCCCTTTATATTTCTTGTTTGGAATATTTTATTCAGAACTACATGGCATCTCCCAGCTGTTGATCCCACTGTAGACTTATAAGTTATTAGTGATACATGTCTATCTCACCACAATCAAAAGTCAAAATGATTGACATAACTTTGCATACATATCTCCAATTTTATTTTCTGATTACAGTTTCAGAGAAAAGGAGAATGGTCAGCTTGATGAATAAAAAGCCTTTTCTAAAATTGCACAAAGTGTGAGAGTCATTGATTAAATAACTTATCTCTAAATGAATGTTTGATAGTTGCAGGCAGCAGTCAAAAATGACCTATTTATCCAAGATATGGCTAATAGGCTGAGCTCAGTTTAATGGATCACACCTTATGAAAGCCTGGTCAACTTTTCAATCTTTAAACGTACAGTTGGCAGTGATGGAACCGTAAAATGAGAAACAAAATATTATCCATGCATTTCTTTTTATCCAGCAGCTCAAGGTAGTATTTTAGTGCTCTTTCCTCCCATTTTTCCCCACAATAATCCTGTTAACTGGCCCAAAGTAAACTTTCATGTCTGAACATGGAAAAAAATCTGAGTATCTTTGATACCCAGTCTAACACTAACTTTCTGACAAGTGTACCTTCATAGCTGTTGCAGTTATTAAAAGCAACTTAATATATATGTTTTAAGTACATTTTATTTAAGCAAGCTCCTCTAATCTCATTGGGATATTCAGACAAAGTGTATACTGGACTAACTAAGCCTAGATCATTTGATTGATTGATGAATTCACATGGCTCGCTGCTGAAATACTTGTGGTAACCAGTAGTGAATTTTTGTCCTGAATTAGGTTCCTGGAACTCAGAACAAATTCTTGCAATTAAAGTTATTTAACTCTAAACATATGCCTTTGCAACAGTTCTAGTGGAAACAAAAGAATAAAATAAGTTTCAGAAGCCTAAAGTCTACTTTGTCCTGCTTTCTAATTTTTTGTGATTTTTTTTTCCAGGCAAATAAGGTTGAGAAAGCTGTATCAGCTGCTCACACATTCCTACAGAAAAACCCCAAGCATGAGATGACTCAAAAGTACCTCAATTATTATAAAACTATGGTGGATGTAGATGAGTACCTTGTAGACTTGGAAGCACAACCATATGAGGTACTTATTTGGAATACTATGGAAAGAAAAAAATTTATCCCCAAAATGGGGCTACAGTTGAAAGCTTTAAAGAGTTGCTAATTTTGTAGTGCACACTTCAGAAGTCCAACCAGATAGTGATAGGTTAAAATTGTGGTGCCCTGCCATTTTTTTAGGTCAGTAAAATGCCTTCCAGCTATGGCCTTTGCCTACCAATTTAGTAGTAGTTGCGGGAAAGACCCTCAAATCATGACATGCTCTAGGAGTAATACCATTCCTTCATGCAATATCATCAGAGCTAGCAGAAAATATCGGTGAAGAAATAGTAATTGCACTTGCTTAGATTTAATTTCAGCTCCTTCCTACCTATCCATATACTTGGAACCTTCTGATACTGGAGTGAGAAAACAGCTGTATTGTCAAAGTGGGCCAGAGTGATGTTACCTCACCTAAACTAATGGATAACCAATCCCAAGTATTTCATGTTAGCATTAAAAAGTAATGGGGAGAGAATCAAGTTTTACATGGGCTCCACATGTAAGTCAGATAGGGTCAGCTTCTCTTCTGCAACCATCAACTAGAACTGGCTACAAAGGAAGGAGTGAAACTATTCAAACATAGTGCCTCCAATCCTCACAGATAATTTAGAGGGATTTCATGGTTGATAGTGTCAAAGGCAGCCAAGAAGTCTAATATGAGCCCACTTCCCAATAAGGCCATCAACCAACATCATAAATAGAGTTTCTTTCTTATGCTCAGTTCTGAACCCCAATTGAATAGGGGTTGGAGAATCCGCTTCTTCATTATATTCAATTATCTGAAGTTTTTTGGAGTTCAAAATGAAGTTTATATCAATCACCAAACAAAATCAACAAGAACCTGGGAAAGATAAGCCCAGTGAGTTTTGAACACAAAACAGATGATGTTGGAGGATTGCACTTTAATGCTCTTTCTTGTATGTTTTTTTTCCTTCTGCTACATGTATGAAAAATGTCATTTTAGAAATCTTTGTTTGCTAAATTGATGTCTTCCACTCTATATCAGCTTTCCTCAACTTGATGTCCTCCAGAAGAGCAGGATTTGCAACTACTGTTGTGGAAGTTGCAGTCACAATAAGCACAAGGTACCAAGTTGAGGAATGCTGCTCTAAATATTCAGGGATGAATTAATTGGATTTCATGTTGCTAATGATCAGTAGGAGGGAATAGTAATATTCATTGCCCGCTTTCCTGCAAATATTTATGACGGCTCCTGACTGTCCATGTGACCTATGAAGCAACCTTATGTAGCCTGCCAGCATTTTTAGAAAAAAAAAAATAAATTGCCTTTTTAGGTCAATTTAAGAAATGCAGGAACTAGAAAGAGGGAAAATATTAATTTAAATTTAAGAAGATTAAATACCTAAATAAGAACAAAATATACTCACCCTGTTAATTTCCATTTATTCTTTGCAGACGGTTTTTGTCAGAGCAGTGAAGCTTTACAATAGTGGAGATTTTAGGAGTAGCATTGCTGACATGGAGCATGCACTGTCCAAGTACTATGAGGCCTATGAAAATTGCCTAGCTGGCTGCGAGGGTAGCTATGAGGTCTCTGAATTTAAGGATTTCTATCCAGCCATAGCAGGTAAGGGCACCAGGGAGAGATCAGCCATCATACATACAGTATGCTGATCCACTATCCATTTTCTTGCTGATATAAAGTTCAAAATGTCAATTATGCAACATATATACAATTATTTCTCCTAATTTTTAATTGGTTTTGGGTGTAGCAAGGATTTTCACAGATGCAGGATTCATTATGGAGCTATTGCACAGAGTAAAAGAGATACTCTAGATCGAGAATGACTTCAAGTACTACAGCAGTATAAGTTCATTTGGATGCAGAGCAGTTCTGATGTAGTGATACACATTTTAAAATTCTGCATTGTTTGTTTTGACCTTTGTAATCATATCTGCAAAATTTCAAATACCATCTTATCCCACCTCACCTGTTGGTTTTTCAGAGAGGTACTTCTGAAATACTAATTCCCCCTTACCTAGCTCTAGCACCTCCTTCTGTAAATAAATCCAGCCTATATTCACTTCCAAAACAAGAGCCCTCATCAACTGTGTAAAAGAGAACAGTTAGTTGCATTGACTGACCCCAAAATGGGATAACTTCATAATGCCAACAAACCATCTGCAAATGCAATCTTTCCTTGTAAAATAGTGTCAGTATATGAATAGGCATAAATAATATAAAAAGAAAGAAAGTGGTTGCTTAGGCTATCTAGATGAAACGAAAATGTTAAGAATGGTAAAGTGGAGCCAAATTCAAAAATACATTAAAAATTTGCAAATACTGGAAGTAAGCGTAGAAAGATAATGCCAAAGGTGTTGGCACTGAAACGAAATTATGGCCATTTCTGTATGGAAGCCCTATTGAATACGCTGATCACGGAATCCACATAAATATGAACGGAACTGGGTTGCAAAAACTGTTTTTCTAAGTGATGATGGATTAGTGATTTAATTTTTAAAATTCTTTTCTTTATTTCTTTCTATGTCCCCAGATCGTTTTGTTGTTGTCCTGCAATGTAAAGTAGATTGTGAAGTTGACCTGACCCCAAATGTTGGTGGCTATTTTGTGGAGAAATTTGTGGCCACGATGTATCACTATCTTCAGTTTGCATATTACAAATGTGAGTTCTTGATTTGATTTGGAAGCCTTGATTCAAGGAGAGGATAGGATTTGAAGTAGTGCCGCCTTGTGGAGGCATAGGGTCAAAATCCACTGGTTTGAGATAGGACAGGACAGTAGATATTTTTCCACTTCCTCCTTTGTCTCCTATCCCCCACTCACAGAATTTCCAGTTGTTTTTTTTACTCATTGAACAATCTAATGTTGCCCATATCAAGAACAGAAAATCTAGTGTTTGGAATCTAAAAAGTTAGATTGCTTTTCCATCTGGCCTCATCTATGCTATCTGACAATGACACTTCAAAGTTTAAAACATGAGTTTTTCTAGTTGTACCTTAGGATAAGTCCTATTTTTTTAAGCTTGTAAAAAAAGTTCTCTTAGTGAAGTAAGGTCCCCTTTCCAAATTCAAAGCTCTGGATGGCCAAATAGTCCCTACCCGGAAATACAGAGAGAAATCGTTTTTCTTCTCTTTTAAGAAAGTGCAGTGACTTTTTTTGAATACATTGTGATTAAAAATTGATAAGATCAGTAGAGGTTAATATTGCTTTCAGGCCATATTTATAAAGACATACTGTTTTGGTGAGAAACTATTTTTCCTGATTTTTTTTCTTTCCTCCCTATTTTTCATGTTGTACTTAAGATGTATCTTCCCGCTAATTTGGCATATTATTCTCTGCACAGTGAATGATATTAAGAATGCAGTTCAGAGTGTAGCTAGCTACATGCTCTTTGATCCTGGAGATGAAGTCATGCAGCAAAATCTGGTTTATTATCGTTTCTATCGTGAACGCTGGCATCTGGAAGAGGAGGACTTCAACCCACGACCAGTAGGAACAGGAATGGTGGTTGGGTTAAGAATTACTACCTTGTTTTGGAGCACTGATATATTTTGGATGCAGTGCTTGTGGGGACCCTTTTACATCATCCCAGGGACAATGTGATTCTCTAGATTTTTTTTCCTGTTGATTATCAAAGGCACGGTGGGAGAACTAGTATCAATCTCCCCTCGCTCCTGAACTTGTAACAATTAACCTTCACGTCTAATTATTTGAGAATCTGTAAAAGAAATGCAATGGGGGCTGGGGAGGATGGGAGATTGAAGCATCGGGAGTCTGCAAAATGTTGGAAGGCCACAGAAATGGTGCATGTCACATTTTCTAGTTTCTGATATTGGAGGGGGGCTTGATGTCTTTGTTCCTTGAAGGGATAAAGCAAAGTAGATTGTCCACTATGGATTAGAGTAACCATTTTGGATAATTATTATATAGTGCTATTACTGTCTGTGGTTCTGATTGTAATAAAACAAGTCCCAAGAGAAGAAGGATACTAGAGGATGTAAGTGAGTGAAAACAGTTTGATTACTTAATTATTACTTAAGTGTGAAGAAGTTCAACAATTTGATCTTGAAATTTGAGGTAACTGACAGCAAACTTGATCTGCTAAGGCTTCTCATTTTTGTTCCATATTGATACCACTATAGTACCCAAATGGAAACTTTTGAAAGGAGGGGTGCATGTTAGATGCATTCCTAACTATTCAATTACTTTTTCCCTATGCAATGACCTCATTGCTCCCTGCAGCTTTACAATTGGAAGTGCCAGAGCCCTTAAACTACATGATTTGCAGCTGCAGTAATGTCCAGAACTATTCTAACTTGGAGGCTAGACAAGTGTTTGCATGCTTGTGTCTATTTGGTAGATTGTATCTTTCTTCAGATGGCACCAACACTGGCTTCAATTGTACAAAGTACAAATATTGTTTATTGTTCTCTCACCTGTTCTGTCTGATTGTTTTCTCTATGATATTCTTAGGAGGCCTTGCGTTATCATAACTGGACATCCACACAGAAGAAACTCTTGGAGTTTGCCAGGCAATATCTCCAGCCAGATGATGAGGTGAGAACTTGGGAAACAGAAATGTGATAAATTAAGAGCTAGCTTTTGTTTCCTTTAGTCCAACTTTGCCCTGTTAATTTACTTTGAGGATAATAAGTGCTAGATAAATCTGAAAAATGAAAGGGAAATGTTTCATTTTCAGATTTTCTCAGCTGGAAAGAAAAGATTTGGCTTGCCATCAAGATTTTACCAAGGCATTACCCATACCATTATTTTCAGGAATAAAACCTAGAAATTTGCAAATGATTATTTTTGAATGTTGGGTTCTGTACCAAATAGTCCATCTGAATTGCTCCATCTGCAGAAGATAGAATAGTTATTAATTACTTTTCATTGTACAATTTTCTTGGTTATGTATAGGATTTCTATATTCATAGTAACAGTATACTGTCTGGGTAGAATCTCTATATTCTCTATTGAATACCAATAGTAAGTCTTATACACACGGTAGTTATAACTATTATTCTCAATATCTATTCATCTTCACTTATGCTTGTTATGAATTTTACATTATTTGATTAGACCATCTGTTCAATTTTATCTGTAATCTATTAATAAGGCAGGACAAGAAGCAATGGGTGGAAACTAATCAAGGAGCGAAGCAACTAAGGAGAAATTTCCTGACAGTTAGAACAATTAATCAGTGGAACAACTTGCCTCCAGAAGTTGTGAATGCTCCAACAGTTAAACATTTTAAAAAGATGTTGGATAACCATTTGTCCGAAGTGGTGTAGGATTTCCGGTCTAGGTAGGGGGTTGGACTAGAAAACCTCCAAGGTCCCTTCCAACTCGGTTATTCTATTCTATTCTAATTAGTTGCAGGTGGTTAGTATATTCCAGCCAATTACCCTGATCATAACAGCTTTCACTTCATCCACTTTTTCCAACTCTGTATTGCCTTCCTCAGCCAGCAGGTGTCACTGTTACTTTTCCCCCCCTCCACTTTTGCTGCAAACAAAATGTCTCTGAATAAAAATATTTTCCAATAGTTTCCCAAAGTTCTTCAAGTCAAGGTGGTAATAAGAGTATAATCCAGAAATTTGAAACAATTTAATTTTCACAAAACTAACCAATCCAGTCTGTCCTTTATTTTTAAAATTAGTTCTGCCTGCAATTTCTTTTCTTTCTTTACCAAGTCTGATAGTAGCTCCAGGTCATTAGTCACCGCTATTTACCTCTGTTGAGTCCCACTTTCCAAATGGGATGTTTTAGGGAAAATTCCATGGCAAAAGTTAGAAGAATCCTTACCCGAACTGAACACACTGATACAACATCTTTCCTTTCTTCACTTCCGTCTCAGCTGTCTTCCCGGCTTTGGTTCAGCCATAATGGCTGTCTTCTTTTCTGCCAGTTCAAGGGGTTTTCTTCAGGTCAGTTGAGGAGATTGAGCTCTCCTCGCAACCACTGAAGCATCCTCTCTATCTTCATCACCCCTACTGAGTGACTTTCAGCCCCATAGAGTCTCCAGGCTTGAAGTAATCGTGGGACTTCATGGAGCTGCCACCCATCCACACCGCTTCACCGCGAGGTCAGCTGCCTTCCGGAATAGTCTGGGTTCTTGATTGCTTTGCTTCTGATTAGTTCTTTTATCCTGTTTCAGGGAGAGGTGGATGAAGGAGTTGACGGAGTAAAAAAATCTGCACTGCCATCTGATGCTGAGTTTGAAGACATTGGTGACTATGAAGAGGGTTTTTTGTCTGAATGGTGGCAGGAGCCTAGATCAAAAGGAGACAAAGGTGACGAAGGTAATTGACAACAGAACTGAAGGACTGATTGTTCATTCTTGCCTATATCTCTTACATTGGATTTTCATCCCTATTTGCTGTCTCATTTCTCCTGCATGTCTGTCTTTAGTTTGTTTATATTGAAGTGTATCTGTCTGAACTTTTGGCTGCAGGAGCTCTCTTCAGCCTTTTTTCACATTTGATCTATGCACAAGTACCGTTTGTTTCTCCTCTTGTTTTATTCCTCTTTCACTGCAAAGTTCTGTAGTTTGCAATTGATTATTGTGAATGCTGCATGGAACCTGCAGGAGGCAGCAGTGAGAAAATGGATTTTTTTTCCATTGATTTTCCTCTTGGTGGATAATCCTGGCACAAACTGTCCCTGTAGAAAGACTGCAAAAATGTATTTTAATCTCCTTTGTTGTTTGTTCACAGAGAGACTTGATTGAGTAATACGATTCCAATAACATCTGCAGGTGAAGGGGAGGCATTGTTGTTTTCTTGGACCTACGAAAGTAGACTTGGAACTGGCAAGATGAATTTTGACAGCATTCCAACATGTTCTGTGCCTTTTGACCTCACATTAATATCTCCAAAGACTGGGAAAATTCCATCAGCAGAACCTCTATGCAAAATATTTAGATCCACTTCCTCTTATGCAAATGGATGGGTAACAAAGAACAACTCTGGGTTAAACCAAAGGAACCTTCCCACTTTCTAGTGGAACCTCATTTCTAAAAAGTACTGTGAATGGGCTTGGAATAAAAATATCTCAACACAAAGAACTAAGAAGAAGCAAATGCTTCATTTATTTCTGGTTTAATATATTCTGCTTTGTGACCTCATATATGTTGAGAACCAAAGTTCTTACCCATTTATGAAAGGTAGCATGTGCATAACTGGATTTTCCGATATTCAGATTTATTAAATGCCCTGTTTGTCCAAAGGCAGGACAACTTCCCCTCTCAATCATTAACTTTTAAATGTGTGTATAGCAGAGAAGATATAATCTACCTGCAGTGTCAGGGATTATTTTAACTAAACTCAATTTACTGGGCTACAAACACAAAAGGGGCAACAACAATATAGATCCCTAGACAACGCACACAAACATTCACACTACAGTATTACTACTCACCATTAGTCCATTCTTCACCACTGCTACTCCTACTACTGCTATTCTAACTCCTATTCCCTGTGAATTCTGCTATTCCTTGTGAGTATTTCTTTTCCCTTCCCAACTTACCTTCATTTTCTGTTTTTCCTGTTACTGGAAAAAAGGCAGTGTAAATGTGTGTGAATGTATTTATGTGGTTCTGCATATGAGAGTGGTTTGTATGGAAAAAAATAGAATGGTCATCATATGCATATAGGAAATTAATGTTATATTATTTTACTTTACTAAAGTACTTACCAGTTTAACTGATAATTTATTTTGTAGTCCTAGCCTTAAATATCTTTAGAGCACCTTTTGATCTGTGTGTATACACACAAGCACAGTCACATGCTTTCACATGCAGGTGTATAGATGGATTGGAGACTGGCTGGATGGGGAAGAGAACTTTTGAAAAGTGTGTGTGTGTGTGTGTGTGTGTGTACTTTCCCTTTTGTGGCCAGGGAGCAAATCGTCCTAAATTAAAGATTAACTTCCTTTTAACTAAATAAAGTTCAAACAACTAAATCTTTTCTCTGAAACTAGGAGTCAGCAGATTTTATATCAGAAACATGAAAAGTGTGCATGCAGAAATATGGCTTGTTGAAGGAGAGCTCTGTACTTTTAGAGCTGGGGACATGTTCAGCTCAATAATTAGCTTTCAAGATGAGTTGCTTTAATGTCCTTTTTGTGCAAGTTTTTACTCCTGCCCTTCCCTTATCCATAAAACTTTACGTACGTCACTCATCTCACAAAACTGGGCAATAGTTCTTTGTACTGTTACATTTCTTTTTTAATGAGGATGAAAATACTTGCAGGACAGCTGCAAATCTTCTGACAGATCCCGGTCTTCCTTGTGTTCAACCTTGGCTTGGAGCTTTTAAAGAGTCACGTTCCCAAGATGGCTGATGTTCTGACATTTCCCCTACCCCATGTGTCTAACTGAAAACCTGCAGTTAATGGGCTATTCTTTAACTTTTCTGAAAGCAGTTTCATGATATTTTTTTACATTCAAGAGCTGCCTTTGTTTTTCAGTTAATTTAAATGTTTATTTTGTACAGATTTTTTTTATTAGTTGTAGTTATATTTTAATAAAATATAGTCTGTGTCTTCTGGATAAGTTTTTGCTGCTGTCATCCAAATTTCTTCCTTGATATATTGAGAAAGCATGTCTTTGTAATTCCCAAAAAAGGAACAGTTTCCTAGAAAAATAGAGGCGCTGTTGCCTGGAAAATTCTGGGTGCAGGTCTAGTAACATTTGGGGGATGTCAGTCTGCGGATTCATGATGAGAAAGGTGGCAAATAAATGTAATACCTGAAAACAGCAGAATAGAAGGGAAGGAATTGGAACAGATAACAAAATACAAAGACCTGCAAATAGAAATAAAACGATTGTGGCAAAAGAAAGCAAAGGTCATTACCAATAGTAATAGGCGCTTTGGGGTGCAATCTCCAAATAATTGGAGCACCACTTGGACACCATCGGCATTAACAAATTCACCACTAGTCGATTGCAAAAGGCAGTTTTATTCAGAACAGTTTACATCCTGCAATAATATCTGTAACACCATCTGCTTATTCCAGTTCCTTGGGAAGGAATAGAATAGAATAGAATAGAATAGAATAGAATAGAATAGAATAGAATAGAATAGAATAGAATTCTTTATTGGCCAAGTGGAATTTGTCTTGGTGCATATGCTCCCAGTCTACATAAAACAAAAGATACATTCGTCAAGAGTCAAGAATCATCAGGTACAACACTTAATAATAGTCAGGGTACAATAAGTAATCAAATCATACTAGGAAACAGTCAATAAAAATCATTAGGATACAAGCAACAAAGTTACAGTCATAAGTGGGAGGAGATGCCTGAAAGGAAGGGAAGATTAATAGTAATGCATAAAATAAAATATAAAAAAATAAAATACATTAAAAATATCATACTAGGAAACAATAAAAATTGTTAGGATACAAGCAACAAACTTACGGTTTGAGGAGGAGTGGGAGGAGATGGGACAAATATGTGGACAAAGTGCCAAATCCAGTCTGAATATCTGTTTGACTGCAATGAACCATAACAATTAATTGGATACGGAAACCTCAGGTGCAGTATATTTGAAACTTACTAGGAGAAAATCATTTGGCTACCTGCAATGTTAAAAATGGTATTGCTTTAATTGGTCAGTAATAATCTGCAGAATTTAGGTGGTCTCAGAACCCATCCTTAAGCAAAATGATAAAAAATTAGAAAAGGAAAGAAAAGCGCAACTGGTATTCATTCCAGTTTAATGTCTTTTCTCCTCTTTTTCTATGTATTTACCATTTTATTTGAAGAAATGTTCAGAAAAGCTTGAAAGGTTGCAATTACAAAATTATGGGTGCCATAATAAAAAGTGTTGTCCCAATGGGTTTGTGATTTTTGGATATTTTTTTAAACTCTTGATCAACACAATTACACTTGCTCTTTAATGTCTATCAATCATCCAGATCATGGTTGTTTCAAATGTGCTTTTTCCAAAAGGCAAATAGATTTTTTTGGCGGTGGGGTTCTATGAAAACTTTCATTTCTCATCCAAGAAGAACTGAAGAAGCGAAACATTTTCAAAGAAAAAGAGAAAAAAAGTAAAGACCAGTTGCCTTTTGGGAAAAGCACCGTTGTTGTTCTATAAATAAGTTCAACGTGAGAAACTGATCTATAAAAGTAGTAAATTATATATCCAATGCTATAGTTAGCTGACTGAATGTAGCTTAAATTAGTGAAATCAATGAAACTTGGCATTTAGTAATAACTTGTCTAGTTTCACTGAGGTTTTTCCTGTGACCAAGTCTGGATTCAGCCACAGTTTTTCTATTTACATCATAATATTTCTCAACAATACAGAAAATCTCTACATTCAGCCTTGAGTCACTAAGTGATAGATATAGAAAGCAGCAGGGATGGTTCCACATCTGATGAGCTCACTGATGTTCCCCTCCAATTTTATTGAATCACAGTATGCTTATCCTGTTGCACAAGCAGGCAGCTTGGAGTCATCAATTTAGCTTCTTATCACGGCTCTAAATTGCTTTGGGGTGTTTCATGGATTTTCAACATCTGCAGATCCAGCTATACAGCTATCTGAAAAATGCCGTATACTAAAAGAAGTAATTAAGAGGCAGGTATTTGTGAACCAGATTAAGAATTACAGAAATTTACATTAGTTAATACAGATAGGTCTTTGGAGTTTATGAGCTTTGAGACCTCCATGTTCTCTTTCCTATTTAGAGAACATAGATATAAGCATGTGTACTTAAGGTCATAATGTATTTCATTGGGTTGGTCTTCTCATTCTATCATCCTCCAGATGTTCTTGGATTCCTGGTAAGCAAGCAAGGAATTGTACCGCAGTACTTCTGAAGACTTCCACAGTGTTGAAGGATGCTTTAGTACTGTGTTTCTCACAAAATAAGGCCGGGCCTTTTTTTTTTTTTTTTTTT